AACCAAAAGGGTTCCACGGTTCTGAGATCAGGATGGAAAACTTTTGGGGTGACGAACACCCCATGACACCCTTGATGCTGGTGGCCCCCGTGTCCCACCCCGGCTCTTCTCCCTCCCCCAGGATGGCACCCTGGAGCTCATCTTCGCCGCCTACGCCACCACGGCCAGCGCCAGCACCTCGCTGATCATGCAGCTGCTCAAACACCCGCGGGTGCTGGAGAAGCTGCGGGAGGAGCTGCGGAGCAAAGGGATCCTCCACAACGGCTGCATCTGCGAGGGCTCCCTGCGCCTGGACAACATCAACGGCCTCCAGTACCTGGACTGCGTCATCAAGGAGGTGCTGCGGCTCTTCACGCCCATCTCCGGCGGTTACCGCACCGTGCTGCAGACCTTCGAGCTGGACGTGAGTAGCGCCGCGCCCCGAGCTCCCCAAAACGGCTGAGCTCGCTCAGAGGAGGCCTCTGAGGGGGTAAATGAAGCCTGGCTTAATTAAGACCTTCTTCTCGCAGGCAATCGGTGATAGGATGAGAGGGCACAGCCTTAAGCTGCGCCAGGGGAAATTTTTCCATTAGGAAAAAATTCTTCCCCAGGAGGAGGGGTTGGGTGGTGGAGCCACGGTCCCTGGAGCTGTTTGAGCACAGCCTGGATGTGGCGCTCGGTGCCACAGTCTGGTGACACGGCCACAGGCTGGACTCTGATCCCAAAGGCTTTCCCAGCCTCATTAATTCCGTGATTCTGGCTACGGGATTTGCTCCAGGTCCAGCAGAGGGATGAGATGAGGGGCAAGGGATGCGCCGAGAGCCCTCAAAGGGCAGACGGGTGTGATGCCGCGGAGCCCAGCTCGTGACAGTGACGCCGAATCCTGAGCTGGGGTGGGACAGGGGAAAGGTTTACGGCAAAGGGCATCTCCAGGCTGCCGGATGACGGGCRGATTAGTCACCGCCGCCGCGGCTGGAATTTCCTCCCAGCAAAACAAAACCTCGGGAGCTGCCTTGTCGCCGTAAATCCTCCTAATGCAGCGCTTTGAGTCACAGACCTCGCAGAGYGCTCAGGGGATGATAAATCCTCCCCGTTTCTCATCGCCCCGGCCCTCCTGAYGTGGCTGTTGGGTGTGTGGTGCTGGCAGGCAGCGGGGTGTGGGATCCTTTGGGATGCTGTGGGATTGTGTGGGACGCTCCGGGATCCTCTGGGATGCTCTGAGATCCTCTGGGATCCTCTGGGATGCTGTGGGATGCTCTGAGATTCTCTGGGATCTTTTGGGATGTTCTGGGATCCTCTGGGATGCTCTGAGATCCTCTGGAATCCTCTGGGATGCTGTGGGATGCTCTGAGATTCTCTGGGGTCTTTTGGGATGTTCTGGGATCCTCTGGGTTGCTGTGGGATGTTGTGGGATGCTCTGGAATCCTCTGGGATGTTGTGGGATCCTCTGGGATTTTCTGGGATGCTGTGGGATCCTCTGGGATTTTCTGGGATGCTCTCGGATACTCAGGGATGCTCTGGGATTTATTGGGATGTTGTGGGATGCTCTGGAATGCTGTGGGACGCTCTGAGATCCTCTGGCATGTTCTGGGATTCTCTGAAATGCTCAGGGATACTGTGGGATTCTCTGGGATGTTTTGGAGTGCTCTGGGATTCTCTGGGATGTTGCGGGGTGCTCTGGAATGCTCTGGGATTCTCTGGGATGTTGTGGGGTGCTCTGGAATGCTGTGGGACGCTCTGAGATCCTCTGGCGCGTTCTGGGATTCTCTGGAATGCTCAGGGATACTGTGGGATTCTCTGGGATTTTTTGGGGTGCTCTGGGATTCTCTGGGATGTTGCGGGGTGCTCTGGGATGCTCTGGGATTTATTGGGATGTTGTGGGGTGCTTTGGAATGCTGTAGGACACTCTGAGATCCTCTGGCATGTTCTGGGATCCTCTGGAATGCTCAGGGATACTGTGGGATTCCCTGGGATGTTATGGGGCGCTCTGGGATGCTCTGGGAGCCTCTGGGATGCTCTGGGAAAGGCTGGCTGGCATGTGGGGCACGGCACGGGCACGACAGAAGCCGCTCCCCCCTGCTTGGCACCACAGGGCTCCTGGAAGGCAGCTCCTGCCAGTAACCACAAATCAAACAAATGGATGGATCCTGGCACGGATTCCCGGGATAGAGGGAGGAGGGAMTCCAGGATTCCCATCTCCCAGCCCTTTGTGCTTCCTGGTTTTCCTTTGAAAACCAGAGCGGGTTCTCACCCTACAGCTTGTCCCCTTTCCATCCCCGTTCCCAAGCCCTACAAAAACCATGGACACCTCCACGTGCCCATCCCCTCTCCCCAGATGTTTATCCCTGGGAGGCTTCCCTTTCCCACCACATCTGGGTGGGATAACCCAGAGGAAAAGGGGAACAAGCAGGGAAAACTGTGAGGCCTGGAARAATTGCCCAGAGATTGTGGATGCCACATCCCTGGAAATGTTCAAGSTTGGAGGGGGTTTGGAGCAGCCTGGGATGGAGGGAGGCATCCTTGCTGCTGTCACGGGGTGGGACGGGACGGGTTTAAAATCCTTCCCAACCTAAACCATTCCATGGAAATGAAATCCTTTTATCCCATCCCCCTGCAGAACTGACCCACTCTGCTCCTCTCCCRCCCCTCCCCTCCTCTCCGCAGGGCTTCCAAATCCCTAAAGGCTGGAGCGTCATGTACAGCATCCGCGACACCCACGACACCGCGCCCGTCTTCAAGGACGTGGACGTCTTTGACCCCGACCGCTTCGGGCAGGGCCGCAGCGAGGACAAGGACGGCAGGTTCCACTACCTCCCCTTCGGCGGCGGCGTTCGGACCTGTCTGGGCAAGCACCTGGCCAAGCTCTTCCTCAAAGCCCTGGCCATCGAGCTGGCCAGCACCAGCCGCTTCGAGCTGGCCACCAGGACTTTCCCCAGGATCACCCTGGTGCCCGTGGTCCACCCGGTTGACGGACTCAAGGTCAAGTTCTTCGGACTGGATTCCAACCAGAACGAGATCCTGACRGGCACAGACGCCATGCTGGGGGCCACCGTGTAAAGCCCGCGCCGGTGGCACCAGGGACGGGCGGCCCGGGGGACGCGGGGGTGGGGTGGGGGCGAGGGGATGGACAGGAGGGGAGGACGGAGGGACGAGGAGCTTCTCCACGGGGCGCTCACCTCCGCGTCGGGACTGCTTTTCCACCGGGGAAGCTGCCGGGAGCGTTTTGCTCTTCCCGCGGGGCGCGGAGAAAGCCGTGGCAGCGGCGGCGGCGCCTTGATTTTTGTCGGGAAGGAGGAGGATCCGCAAAAGCCGAGTCGAGCTGGGATGGCCGACCGTTACACAGTATCTAAATATTATAAATATATATATATAAATATCTATAAAACACTTCTGCTGCCAGGAGGAGAAGGCCCGACTGCGGGAAAGGCTTTGGAATCAGCCGAGGATCTGAGGTCCGGTGGCCCGGGGCAGCTCTGGGGTGACCTCTGACCCTTTTTTTTAACAGTGTTAAATTAGCTGGTGATAACAGTGTTTTTATGTTTTTTGAGGGGTTTTTTTTTTTTTTTTTTTTTTTTTTTTTTTTTTTCGGTTGTGTTGTTTGTTCCCGGGGGCGTTGGAGCCTTTCCTGGGCCGGGGGGAGACAATGACGCCCGTTCCCAGCCCCTCTCCCGCTGGTGCCGGGGCAGGCTGGGGAGGACGAGGGGTGGCTTTGCTCCCCCCAAAACCCCTCCTGTGGCACCTCACCGGGGGCTGACTCACCCCCGAGGCCTTGGACGAGGCAGATTTGATTTTCCAAGACCTTTTGGGGCTCTGGGGAGGGGGATGTCCTTTCCTTTTTTTCTCTGGTTGAGTTTCCTGCTGCTGCTACACGGCCTGTGAGCGCCCCCTCCCCTGCCGCCCCTCTCCAACCTCTTCCCCAGGTGAAGGCACCCAGTTTTGGGGACATTTCGGTGCCTTTGACGTCCTCTCAAGGTGCTGGTACCAGCCCCAAGCCCCAGCACAGCTCTGGGAATGCCTCTGGGGCTGCTCCTGCCGGAGGTGTTCGCATTAAAGGCAATGTCTCGAGTGCAGCCGGCCACGCATTCGTTTGCCTCATGTTTGGGGTTTTTCTGGCCACGGGAGAGCTCGGCAGGAAGGAGAGGGCTCTGTGTCAGCCCCCACCCCATATCCCAGAAGAATCCCAGAGYCTCTCCAGCACAAGCCACYGAGAGTTATCCTGCCTTCCWTTTGCTGGGGGATTTATTTTATTCRGATTTTTGCATGCGAGGGACTGCTGGGTTGAGTCAGAGATTTGGGGTCGTGTTGGGAGGGAGAGGAGCAGAAGCTCCCCGAGCACCCGGGCAGGTGCTGGGCTCACACCAGAGCTGAACTCCAGCTCAGGACATCCCTCCCTGACCTGGGGCACCTCCTCCAGCCCATCCCAACCCGCCGAGGTGCAGCGGTCACCACGGGGCGGCCGCGGATGGTGACGGGAACCACCGTCACCCTCGGGGCAGGGGCAGCTTGGCTTTCGGCTCCGAAAGGGTCCAGGGAAGTCCGGGGGCTCGGAATGGGAAGGACAAGGTGTGGCTCACCAGGTGGCTTTGCAGGTTGTGCTGTTGCCTCTCGGGTCGGGAAGGTCGCGGGAAGTGTGAAGCGAGCGGAGGCGAGGCCGGCCCGGCGCTGGCGGGGCCGAGGGGGGAGGGAGGCAGGTTTGGAGCCAAGGGAAGCGCTTGAGGTTGGAATGCCAAGAGCCAAGCTGCCAAAAATCCCCCCTGGAGCATCCCCGGGGATGGCGTTCCCTCACACCAACGTGCACGGCTCGATTGAAGCTGGAATAAAATCCCCAATCTTCTGGGATTCCCGATTCCCATTCCGACCCCGACCATATTTCTGGGTGGTGACCGAGGTGCCAAACCCCGAAGGAAGGTCACAGGAGCAGAGGCTCAGATGGTTTTCCAGCCAGGAATTTTGGAGTGGAACACCACCAGCTCAGGCCCTGTTGGGATTCCTGGTGTTTCCTTGTCCCGGATTTGGGGAGAAAACTTTCCCGGTTGGTGGAAATCCAAATCCCAAAGGGCAGAGGAGAACACCAACCTGGATGGGGTGGGAAGGGACAAACATCCGGGRAGAGGTGATGGGCACACGGAGGTGTCCATGGGTTTTGTAGGGCTTGGGAATGGGGACGGAACGGGGACGAGCTGTAGGGTGAGAACCCYRGGGTGCTCTGCAGGATCCCYCATTTCCTGTGGGRWTGARGAGGCTGGGAAAAGGGAAAAGGGAAAARCCAGAGAAGGGGATGGATAACCAGGATGCGAAATTCCTCGSACAGGCGAGCAAAATCCCCTGTTCAGACTTTTCTGGAAGGGCTCRGTCTCGCTTCTCCTCACGGGGAATCCCTGAAGGGTTTTCCCCTGAAATTTTAATTTTTACTTCCAACGCCATTCCAAAGTGAGAACCAAACCTGCTCTGGGGTGAGTTTTGATGGGGATGGGCRCTGCAGCCATCCCAGAAATTCAATTTACATCCCGTGGATATTCAATGTTTGTGTGGGGGAGTATTTAAACCAGGCTGAAGTAAGCCAGGCTTTGTTGTTCCAGTCCTAACTAATATAACTTGACTAAAAAAAGAAAAGTTGCTGCAGTGGGTTTGCAGAATAAAGCACTTTGAATCTCAGAATTTTTTTTGTTTTTGTTTTTTTTTTTTTTTGAATTAGCACAGTCCAATTTGCTATAATATTATTTTATACACTTTTTTTTTGGTCTGTCTTTATAAACTATTATAAGTGCTATTTTTGTTATAATTCAAAAATAGATATTTAGGAGAAAGTCGTGCTGTTAAATATTTGTTATTTAGTAAAAATATGATTTTTTTTTTTCCTCTTTATTGTAAACGTCGTCTGGGAAAAAATATTAATGTTTTATCCTATTTGTTTTTAATATTAAAAAAAAAAAGGAAAAAAGCACTTGTGGGGGTTTTTTCGTTCTGGAATTGGTGCCGTGTGAGGTTGTGTTGCAGTCATGTGGGTTTTAATATGTACAGAATATTCTGTGTCYCATATTAAAATGAATGTTGTGTATTTTGTGATCCCAAAATAAAACAAACAGAAAAAAAATAATCTCTGTGGCTTTTTTTCTGGAATTCTGGAAGAAAAAGGGTCAGATCTCCCAAATTTTGGTCTTTAATTCCAACTGCAGGTCCTTGGAAGGCCCTGTGGGATTTTGGCACCCAAAGAGCTTGGCCGAGGTGAATCCGGGCTGAAATGGRCCCAAATACAGGAAATTCCACTTAAAAATACGATAAAAACCATAAAATTATAATATTTTGATGGGGAAGATGCCCAAAAGTCGGATCAAGTGGGAGGGGTTTGGAGTCTCCGTCCCTGGAGATTGGACACRGTCCTGAACAACCAGYCCAAGGTGAATCCTGGCTGATTTGGACCCAAACACAGGAAATTCCACTTAAAACGAAAAATATTTTTATGGGATGGATGATCAGGAGTTGGATCAAGTGGGAGAGGTTTGGAGTTTCTATCCCTGGAGATTGGACACGGTCCTGAGCCACCTGTCCAAGATGAACCCTCGTTGATAGGGATCCAAATACAGGAAATTCCATAAAATAAAATACAAAATAAAATATAAAATAAAATATTTTTAAGGGGAGGATGGTAAAGGGTTGGATCAAGGGGGAGAGGTCAGAGTTTCCATCCCTGGAGATTGGACACGGTCCTGAGCCACCTGTCCAAGGTGAACTGTGGCTGATATGGATCCAAATACAGAAAATTCCATAAAATAAAATACAAAATAAAATATAAAATAAAATGTAAAATAAAATATAAAATAAAATACTTTTAAGGGGAAGATTGTAGTTTTGGATCAAGTGGGAGAGGTTTGGAGTCTCCACCCCTGGAGACTGGACATGGTCCTGCGCTACCTGTCCAAGGTGAACCGTGGCTGATATGGATCCAAATACAGGAAATTCCATAAAATAAACTAAAATATAAAATAAAATATAATATTTTTATTGGGAGGATGGTAAAGTGTTGGATCAAGGGGGAGAGGTTTGGTGTCTCCCTCCCTGGAGCTTGGACACGGACCTGACCAAGGTCTCACAGCTTTGAGGTCCAACCCATCCCAAGGTTTTTGGGAGCTCCAGGACACCCCATTTCCACCCAGATTTCCCCAGCAGGAGAAAGGAARGAAGGAAATGCAAATATTCCAGCTCTGTGTGTGTGTCCTGCTCTTTGCTGCCATTTTTTCCAGGATTTGTTCCACATGGAACTGGCATAGGAGATCCCCATGGATGGAAAAACAAACACCTGAGTGCTGAAGGCATGGGGTGGTGGGCAGGAGATGTGGGTTGAAGCAGATGAGATGGGACACAATTCCCGAGATGGGACACGATTCTCAGGGTGGGAGATGATTCCCAAAATGGGACACAATTCCCGAGATGGRACACAATTCCCAAGATSGGACACATTTCCCGAGGTGGGACATGATTCCTGAGGCGGGACACAATTCCCGAAGCAGGACGTCATTCTTGAGATGAGACACATTTCCTGAGGTGGGACACGATTCCCAAGATGGGACACAATTGCCAAGGCAGGACACAATTCCTGGGGTGGGACAGGATTCCCAAGATGGGATACGATTCCCAAGGCTGGACATGATTCCTGAAGCAGGACACAATTCCCAAGATGGGACACATTTCCCGAGGTGGGACACAATTCCTGAGGTTGGACACGATTCCCAGGGTGGGAGATGATTCCCAAAATGGGACACAATTCTCGAGATGGGACACAATTCCCAAGATGGGACACATTTCCCGAGGTGGGACATGATTCCTGAGGCGGGACACAATTTCCGAGGCAGGACGTGATTCCTGAGATGGGACACATTTCCTGAGGTGGGACACGATTCCCAAGATGGGACACAATTCCCAAGGCAGAACACAATTCCCAAGGCAGGACACAATTCCTGGGGTGGGACATGATTCCCAAGATGGGACATGATTCCCAAGGCAAAACACGATTCCCAAAGTGGAACACAATTACTGAGATGGGACAATTTCCAAGGCAGAACACGATTCCTGAGGTTGGACACGATTCCCAAGGTGGGAGGTGATTCCCAGAATGGGACACAATTCCTGAGGTGGACACAATTCCCAAAATGGGACACAATTCCGAAGGCAGGATACAATTCCTGAGGTGGGACACAATTCCTGAGGTTGGACACAATTCCCGAGGTGGGATATGATTCCCGAGATGGGACAAAATTCCCAAGATTGGACACAATTCCCAAGATGGGACACGGTTCCCAAAATGGGACACATTTCCCAAGGTGGGACACGGTTCCCAAGATGGAACACGATTCCCGAGGTTGGACACAACTCCCGAGGCAGGATATGATTCCTGAAGTGGGACACAATTCCCGAGGTGGGATATGATTCCCGAGGTTGGATACGAATCCCAAGGTGGGACACAATTCCCAAGGTGGGACACAATTCCCGGGGCAGGAATGACCCCATGCTGCTCAGCACTCCCATCACCTCCCATTTGGGGCTCCCGAGACATCGACTCCAC